GTTCCATAATGCTCATTTATTTAAAGTTTATTCTATTTCTTTGCTATTCTGTTCGTTTATTACGCGCTGCAGAAATGTCAATATGTCATGATTTTCTGTGCATACACATACACTTATTAACACGTAAACACATAAAGTTACATTAATACATAATTTTGTATGTCGTGAAACATGAGACAGGGTGATTCAAAATCCCATGGTCTAAATTTAGGGGGCTTTGGTGGGACAGTTTGGGGCTAAACTGTCCCCTCTGAGGAGGACCTCTTTCACATGCGTTCCGACAAGTGACAGTGAATGGATTAACATATGTATGTTTCGACCCGCATAGGGTCATTTTCAGATATTGATTTACACACACAACACCTGAGGATGATTCTATGAGGGTCTAAACATGTAGTGGAACAGAAGGAATAAATTACAGTTGCGTTGACGATGGAACATGTATCATTAGCTATACTCAGGCAACAGAAGGCAAGCAATAAGAACAGCAGGTACATAAGACTTCCTTCTCCTGCATGTTGCGACTATTGCAGAAAACGTGGGTTAGTGGCATGAATGAAATATTTCCCTGAAACGTCAGTGTACCGTGGCAGACACGTGTCTATTAGGCTGCCTCTTAACTGGATAATGAAGCTATTGTCCGCTCGATGTAGCTCTAGCATTTCGGCCACGAAATTGTTACCAGCATTCTTCGCATCAGTAAGTCGTGCCATCTACTTTCGCTGTCGAAATTAATGTGAATGCGCATTACGCTTCGTCTTGTGAGATTATGAAGGCTCCAACAGCATTACACTTGGAGTCACCCTGTACATAACGGCTAAACGTCCGTCTGCCTCTGTCCCATCTTGTTTGTGAGAAAACAGTACGTCCTAGAAAATATATAGTACAGGCAGAACATACTATTTTAAAGGCACGATACCGGTGAAATTATTAATTTTGTTGTAACATGCATGGGTTCGAGTCCAATATCAGTGTCTTCCCCCATTATTTTGCCCATAAGGAAAATGTTACGACCTCGTATACGTAACCTTCCTATATATATATTAGAGTGGTCACAGCAAAGAAACGTCTTAATACTGGGTTACGGCGTGTGGCACTTTCGATTTTCTTTAAGATAACTTGTTGGGTAGAGGGGCCGGGATAGCGCAGTCTGTACAGCGAGTGGCTACGAGCTTGACGGCCGAGGGGTCGAATTCGAGTCCGGTAGGAGCAAGAATTTCCTCTTCTCCACGTCGTTCAGTTTGGTTCAAGGTCCCACCCAGCCTCCTATCCAATGGGTGTCGGGAGATTTTTCGCCGGAGGTGCAGTGGCCGGGGCGTGAAGCTGATCACTCACCTGCAACTAGTTCCGAGATCAAGAAAGCGTGGATCTACACATCCACTTCTCCATAAGCGCTCATGGCGTAGTGCTTAAATAATGACAAGAACAACCTTACATTTTATCTTAGTGGGTGGATTCTAAAGGGTTCTGACGACAGTGTATATGACTCAGAATTACTGCGTTTTTGGGCTTTGTAAATGTCCGGTATTCTAAAGAAACACTAAAAACATATCGTTTAGAAACTGGATAGGTTTACGAAACGCTGTGCTTTTCTTTAGAATACCGAACGATGGGCAAACTTCAACAACAAAGTAATTCCGAACTTAATGGGTGCCTTAATATTTATAAATAGTGAACTGCTATTTCGTGTACACGAAATTCCAAATATATTAGAACCTTCGGAGTGTGGGAATACGTAACTTGTATAGTCTGAACCACAAGAAGATCAGAAAACGTAACGAGTTCGAAGCCAAGACCTTGAGACGTTGACTGGAAGTAACCAGTATGAACAACAGATACAGCTCCTGAAGTTGCATTGCAGATCTGTCTTCCTCTTTCAGAGAGAGCCTCTGGGATAGTATTGATTTCTTCCACTTCGAAAATTGGGCACAGAAGGAGAAAAATCTTATGCCTGATACATGAAATATCCTCTTTCAGTCAAACTGTGCATCGTTGGCAGAAAGGAATTGCTAAATATGGGAACTTTCCTCTTGGTGAGTTAAATTCGAAAAAGAGAACAGTCTCATTTCTAGTTCGAGGAGCCGGGATAGCGCAGTCGGTATAGCGACTGGCTACTGGCTGGACGTGAGGAGCCGGGATAGCGCAGTCGGTATAGCGACTGACTACTGGCTGGACGTGAGGAGCCGGGATAGCGCAGTCAATATAGAGACTGACTACTGGCTGGACGTGAGGAGCCGGGATAGCGCAGTCGGTATAGCGACTGACTACTGGCTGGACGTGAGGAGCCGGGATAGCGCAGTAGGTATAGCGACTGGCTAAGGGATGGACGACCGAGGGGGTCCCGATAGGATCAAGAATTTTCTCTTCTCCACGTCATCCAGACCAGCCCTTGGGTCTATCCAAACTGGTATCCAATGGGTACCGGGGCCCCTTTCCCTAGGGATAAAGCGGCCTGGGCGTGAAGCTCACCACTCATCTCCACTTAGTGCCGAAGTCAAGAAAATGTGGATCTATACATCCGCTCCCTCATAAGCCTTCATGGCTTACTGCTTAATTAGTTAAGTACAGAGACAACATTATCTATACATTTTTTATTTCTAATTCAGCAAAGAGATGGATGGTACCCAAAATACTAATATGACACCCCTAAATATTTCACATGTTATGAATATTTTCATTGCTAAACAAAACGAAGATTACTTAATACTATTATTCGCATCGTGTTTTGGCTTAACTTCAATTACAAAAGTTTTACATTTGTGTCTCTTCAAAAAGTTCTATTCTAAACAGAACATGGGACACACCTGCAGTCTTCTTTACGAAGTTTCTGTGAAGAAATTCCGGCTTACGCTGGAATTTGCCATTTGATATTTTCATTTTTATTTTTTTAATTTGGTTGTGTGTTTATAAACAGCTGTCTAAAATTTTAAGTGAAATCCAAAGGACGGGCCGTTTTAGTGAGGGATTACCCGCCTATTCCATATGGCTTTACCCAATAAAATCTGATGATCTGCTAGAAATAAAAAAAATGGATATTATATCTCCCAAATCGCGAAACATCTTCAAAATATAGAAACTAATTTAAGTAAAGAGCATAAAGCAAGAAATAACAAGTATAAATTGCGTATCAGAGTTAGCCCGCTGTATGGTACTTCCTGGTTCTGCCAGTAGACGCTCTTACATTAATATTTCCTTCGTAACTCCAGCCACTAGTTTCCTAGTGATGTTTATGAATTTGTTTTAAAATGAGTAGGTGCCTTGTTTCTTGCATTAGTTTTCTGAGAAAGCTGATGTTGCATGTTCCTGCGGAAACCCCCTACGTTCTGGTGATTTATCTTCACGCTCCCCCTCGGTGCCAGCCACTGCAACTGCTGCATTTAGGGTCCCTCCAGGAAGCGACACAAGATAAGAGAAACGACTTTCGAATTATACGGAGCCTACCCTGAGATAAGGAACCAGAGGCCTGCAGGCCCAGGCCGATAATGATAAGTCCCGGATATTAGCGCATCACGTGATCTGTTATCCCTCTTAGTTATTGTTAAATTATGGGACGCGTACCGTAAATGGCACGCAGTGGAAACAGACTCTGCCCCTGAAAAAATGAGAGATATTTTCAAGGATTGCCACACAGGACCTGTTCACTTTTTAACATAGAGATACCCCTCTTACTCCGTTTCTCTTCCTACGCTCCTGCTATCGTGCTCAGCGGTAAATATTATTGTTATTATTTTTGGAGAGGGTGGGTTTCCCAATTCGCTGCGACCAGTTGTTTATCTATTGTGAGTCCCCCTTTAATTTCTACCGTCGCCATGCCCTTCCAGTACGGGTGCTCGCTATCAGCCCCGTTCTGCCAGCGAGGTCGGCCCTCTGGCAGTGGTCCCCGATACTTCCCCATCTACCGGAGGAATTGGAAACTATTTTGGCGGGAAACTTTGTCTAAGTTTGCTCAGAGGTCTCCTAGAGACGTGAGGATGTTTTACGTGCCGTAAATCTACACACGGGACACACGGCTTAAAGTGCGGAGGACATGTTACCTGAATTCTTCCGACCTTAAAAATTACACGACCTCCGCCGGGTTTGAACCCGCGTACCTTGAGTCATGAGGTGGGAACCTTACCCCTAGACTACGGACGCCGCTTGCTCAGCGGTAATACTTCCGACTTAGTTTCTTGGGGTGGGGTGAGACTGAGTCCACTTGGTACTGCGGCCACTACTGGCCTGTTGTACCAGCCCCAGATGATGAATGTGGAGCAGTCCGTGGAATGAGAACTGGCAGGGGAAACAGAAGTACTCTGAGAAAAACTGCCACTTCATTCACCACAAATCCCATGACCTGAACTGGGCTCGAAGCTGGGCCACTACGCTGGGAAGCCGACGACTAACCGCCTAAGCTATGGCACGGCCTATGCTTCTGAATTACATTTGGGAGGTTCCTGGTTCGAATGTCGGTTGGGACATCGATTATCCTGAGATTTTGCTTGGTTTCACAAAAGGCCTTCAGGCGAATGTCGAGGTACCTTGAAATAAGTCTCGGCCGCTTCCTTCAGCACATTCTCCAATTCAACATTCATTAATTATCCTGTCACCCAAATCTAAATGTCTCAACTACCGAAAGTGGCGTTAAATCAATCATGAATAAATATCGCTAATTTTATGTATCTCGGATCTAATAATTCTGAAGCTCCATATGCGAACCGTAAGGTAAAGGTAAATTTGCTCCTGTGCTTAATTAAGCACCGCGCCAGGGAGCCGAGGTACAGCTCTACCATTCTTGACCTTGAAAATAGATAAGAGGTGAGTGCATATCAAACGCTAAAGGGGACGAGCCGCTGGAGTGTACTTTGCCCCATAGATCGTAAACATTGACGATAACTGGTAAGAACTACGCAGTTCATGTTTCTGACCCGTCAGGATCTTGCCGTAATGCGTACACATCTCTAAGTTTGGACAGTCAATGGGCATGAGTTGCCCAATCAGGCAACGTAACAAGAGCGACTTACCTCCACGTGAGGTTGGTGTAGTGCCACTTCTGGCCGTGAAGCGTGTAGCGCTTGCTCCTGAAGTGATTGGACGCGATATCTGGCAGGCCACACCGCGGTTTCTGAATCAATGACTTAGTCGCCTCGTCCATTTCACCCGTTGCAGGAATATTGCCGAACGTCTGCAAGCAAGGAACGCATTGGCTACAGGACAACGCATTCTGCGCGACTTGCAGGATCCTACAGCTTCAGAATTTACGGGCTTGAAATCTGAAAATGAAACATATCTCATATCCTGCAAGTACGCATTTCCAGGCTGGAGAAGAAATCCACAGACAGACAGACAGAAAGGGAGGAATTGAAGGGGAGGAGCAGGTGAAAATGAAAACTCATGGGAAAAGTGACAGAGATTTTTTATTACGGACTGACCTTGAAGGGAAGAGCATTGTTTCGTAGAACGTTCACAGGCTTCGCCCGTCCGTCCTTCCGATAAGTAAAAGTAAGTAAAGCTATCCCTGTAACAGGCCGTGAAGGCCCATAGGGCTGTGAGATGTTGAGGGTCCCACATTATCTACACCAGGGGTCTCCAAACATTTCGAAACGCAGGCCACATTAGGTAATTCAGCACTTTCAACGGGCCGGATAAAATGAGAAATTAATAGCTCTAGGTATACGACTTTTATTGAAAGCACAGAATTTCATAAACTAAATGCAAAGTACGTGAGAATAAATTATCGTATATTAATGACAACAGACAGTAGCAGCAAATGCTCATATTTTCACCACAAATTATATTAAAACAATTAATGTGAATGATGGAACTCTTTTTGCATTCTTAAAATCTGATTAAATTGAGGTTCAAATTTTGAAACGCTAATCACAAGTAGCGACTTTAAATGTTCATCGGATAAATTTTCCCTGTATTTCGACTTGATGTACTTCATCTGGGAAAAAGTTTGTTCACACAGATATGTCGTCCCAAAAATGGAGATAAATTTACAAGCAAATTTCTTTGCATTTGGAAATTGCTCAGAGTTAAAAAATTTATAAAATTTGATCAAATTTCCTTCCTTGTATTTGTCTTTAATATGATAATGTTCCTGAAGTTCAATAATTTCCATTTGAATTTGACTTGGGACATCTGCAGCATCACAGTCAAACGGATTTTGAAACAATCTGATTTCCAGAGCACGGGCATCCAAATCAGCAAATCTCTTCCGAAATTATTTTTTCAAATCTAAAATTGTGAATATTAGNCTTACGCGCCGGCCGCGCTTTACTCCCCAGGAAAATTATTTAATTAATTCCTGGTACTCATTTCTGTTAGAGGCTAAGTCGACACCAGGGCCTAGGTCAACTGAAAAAAAATCCAACCACCTCATCGGGACTTGAACCCGCGACCTTCCGGCTTGTAGCATAGCCCCTCAACCAACTACGCTATCGCGTGCCCCCACCCCCTTCTGATAAGAGCAGAGAGAATGTGAAAATGTTAGAATGGTTAGAAACAGTGCCTTGAGATATGGGCCGCGAAATTTTGATTTTCTGAAATCATTTTGATCTATAACTCCGAAAAAAATAATTTTGTTGACTTCAACAGAGATGGACTTTAATTTTGACTATTCTCCAAGTATAATTAGGAAGATCAAATCAAGGAGGATGAGATGGGCAGAGCATGTAGCACGAATGGGGAGAAGTGGAATGCATATAATATTTTGTTGGGAAAACCAGAAGGAAAGAGACCACTGGGAAGACCAAAGCGTGGGTGGGTGGCCAATATTAAAATGGATCTTAGGGACATAGAATGGGATGGTATGAAGTTGACTGTTCTGGCTCAGGATAGGGACCAGTGGAGGGCTCTTGTGAACACGGTAATGAACCTCCGTGTTCCATAAATGTTGGGAAGTTTTTGAGTAGCTGCGGAATTTGCGGCTTCTCAAGAAGGGCTCAGCGCCATGATTGACTGAATAGTTAGAAGCAGTGGCTTTAGATATGGGCCACGGATTTTTTATTTTTCTGCAAAGGAGGCTTTGAAGACAGAACTTGAGCGCATGAAGCTGAAGAATCTCCACTGTTAGAAGCCGTTGCCAGGGAATGACTGATGAAGAGAGAGCAGGCTGGAAAAAGGCTTTGCGCGCATTGGGGTGACTTTTGAATTGTGGATACCAGTGGTGGCGCTCTAAATTCTCGTAGACCCAAGTCGTGTGTATTAGTGGTCAATAAATCGAGTCACCAATCCAACCCCCTTCTATAGTCACTCATACACGTGACCATATTTATGAATACATTTTGTAGGAAACCTGTCAACTGTAACGTGATTAATCTGTTACAAATAAACATCAAGACTAGTGAGATATACAGAATAGCAAAGAAGTCATTTGAAAAATATTGATACGAACTTGAAGTAAACCTTTTCAATTTTGTTTCTCCAGTGATATATAAACTCCTTTTACATGAAAGAACTCTTTAACTGCATGGCATAATAATTCTGCCGCCCTTCGTTTGTGAATCGTCGTGTATTTTAATCAACATTGGATTCTTGTCTGTGCAGTTCACTTCAGTGTAACTCGAGAGAAGTGAACACAAAACACAAAATCGTTACAGAAACATTTCATATACTCGTACTGAGTGAACTGTTACTTCCCTGATGAAACGATGTATGAAACGTTATTTAAGGACATGGTTTCGATAACTTGCAGAAATGTAATAAAAATCGAAATTTCGAAAATACCGCCATTTTGTCTTTTCGTGTTCATCTGAAGGTCACCTGATTATGGAGGCAAAATACTCACATGCACTGATCTATATGAATGAACACTTACACAAATATGTACAGAATACATCCAACCCTTCAGGCGCACATACATTAAGAAATACCTGGACATACATGAAGACAGGCAGTCGACAGTTCAAGAACAATTTTTTTCGTGTTTAGGGGTGCTGGGAACGTGTACACAGTATGAAGACTTGTAAGAAAGTAAAAATGTACGGATTACATTTCGCCTCGCTACAGAGGCAACCAATATGACGCCGCAAGTATGTTGGGTTGCAGAGTGGTCAGGTTTAAACAGGAGTAATAACAGGGATGTTATTACAGGCTAAATTATCGCCTCTTGCTAGGAGTTCTGTAACATTAAGAATAAAGTATGTGAAACTGTAATTGTATTGGTTGAAAGCGCATGCGCCTTGGTATCTCACGCGAAGGGAAGCTCAAAGATCGAGAGAACATAGGAAAGAATGCACAATATTTCATCTCTTAACTCAAAAGCCGTTCTCACGCAATGTTTCCTGCTTTTAAAACGAGGCTTTGAGGCCCGAGTCCTGTACATAAGAAAATTGCCATAANTCGTCGCAAGACCTCTACATGTACACAAACACAGAAAAACGCATACAAACATCCATGCCCTGAGTGGGATTCGGACCCACAATCCCGGCTTCCGAGCGAGCGAAGACAGTGCATGTCTTAGACCGCTCGGCTACCGTGACCGGCCATCCGTTGTTATACCACACTTTAAATAAACTAACTATAATAATTTATAAATATTTTATTTATATAAAATCGCTATATTTGTTAAAGGCTAAGATTTTATATTCATTACATTGTAATAGTATTGTATGTATGTACTGATTTGTTTCCACATGTATTGATATATCCTTCTGAAGATGCTCGCTCCAACCGAAACATGTCAAGGACGAAAGAATAAAAAGGAGAAAGAACATTTATCAGTCGCACTGGACGGAGCTAGTAATCTTTTATATGATTACAGTTTGTCACGTTAAGTGTAACATATATTCACCAATATTTAACAAGTTAGCAGAATAAATTTCTTGGAATGATAAGGAAATTGGGTAACTTAAAACATTGCGTACTCGGTGTAACGAGAAACTCCACGATGTACGGAATATGGCTAGCCATTTGGTGCTTTATGGTAACGAAATCAAGAGACTACAAACGGCTCGATATATGCAGAGACAAGGAATTCTTGCACAGTTCCGGAAATGTCCAGTTCTGGTATCGATCCTGTCATCACAGAACTGGCAAAACATTTCGAGGATATTAACTAGGTACTAGGTCTTCCTGGGAAAGCTAATAATTACTTAATTAAATGTTTATGTATTAAGTCTGTCAATAATGCAAAAATCATTAAAATATTCACCATTTAACACTAACACAACATGTTTCGGCCACAGACGGCCATCCTCAGGCGGTGTTTCAGTGCGTCCAAACTGTTACACTGTTTTGATGAGCGCTAAAATCACGCATATGGAGGCTGAGCGCTTGCGCACTCTCACATCCAACCTCGATTTTTCTAAGACACGTTTCAGTGCTATAGTCCTATCTACATCTACATCTCTCAACTGGTCTCTACTCGTAAAATTTTGAGATTAAAATTTAGTGTGAATTTCATATTTCCCTTGTGTGTTACACGTTGACCCCACATCACCTTGACCAGGATATTAACAAAAGTAGTAAACGCGCTATAGGCCTGCGTCTGCAAGCGTCCTAGCTTCAAAATAGCGTGCAGTTGAAGGGGGAGTACATGGAAACACCGAAGTTGAAGACCACTGACTGACCTGCAGAGTTCTGATAGCATCCCGAAGCTGGTCGTCGGTCCTCAAGTTGCCAGTCTCCAGGTCAGACTGAGGCAGATAGCCGAAATCCATCAAGTAGCGGTGCTGCAACAGGAAACATAAATATTTTTATTACCTCCACGTGACCGCGGGAACAACAATAAGCTTATGTGTGAAAAAAGTAGTCAGTAAAGTTCAACTCTTTGACTGACAGTTAAGGAAACTAAATCAAACTTCGCTGAGGGCAGGGAGAGTTACGCGTACAGCGTTCCTGCGAGCATAAGCAAGCGATTGTTTTCTCCAACGGACTTTTACAGTGCAACAGCTACGCTGTCTGCAGCTTAACCTAGAACCTGGAAAAACCTATAGAAAAAAAAAGTACAGCGGCCCTTTACGTCGAGCAAACATTTCCAATGAAAATCTTATAAAGACAGATTAGATACTGACGTAGACATCTGAATAATGACTACGTAGAGAATGTAGTATTTATGCCGGGTTTTTTGTTTTTGTTGTTTTTTTCCTTGGCACTACAGCCCCAGTGGGCCTAGGCCTACCTCCATGAACTCCGTTCACTTCTGTTTTTCTAGATCTTACACACACGGTAGGACTCCTTGGGCGGGTGATCAGCTCGTCGCAAGGCCTCTACCTGTACACAAACACAGAAAAACGCATACAAACATCCATGCCCTGAGTGGGATTCGAACCCACGATCCCGGTTTCCGAGCGAGCGAAGACAGTGCATGCCTTAGACCGCTCGGCTACCGTGACCGGCAGTTTTTGTTGTTTACTGTGTTATTAATATCTAACAGAACACTGAAACTGCGGCGGCCCAGGTATTTAATATTTTTTCATTAATAAAATATAATCTTATGAAACAAGCATGAGAGTGAAAGAAATTAATGCTGGAATAAACCATAACGAAAAGTAAATTAAAATACATGATGTATAATGAAAACTTTAATTAAAATTGGCAAGTTATTGTGGGGTTACAGATATAGGGATGAGGAATTTCACTGAAACAGTCTTCTCGCTTTCGGGAACTAAATAGGAACTTGCTGAGAGGCTATTTCTAAAAACAGGACAAGGAGAAGGAACTGCAAAATGGTGGACCGGGTCATTACGCAAATGGCGCCCAGTATCGGGATTAAGCCCATGCGACTTGGTTGTATTCTCTGAAGAAACTGTTGCAGGCAGCTGGGGCATAGAATATTTTTTCCGCTGCAGGTTAAACAAGCAAATCATAGTTAAGGAACAGAAACATAACATCAAATTGACAGGATCAGTTCAGAGGTAAATTGTAAAATTTATCTCCAGAATTACCAAATTAAATTTCGGTCTGGGTAGTGGCTATTCGGACCACGGATTTGAACGGTCTTCTTCAGTCCCTCCAGTCAAATGTTGAGGACTGCCTCTGATTTAAGAATCCCTCTCCACTCACCAGCAACAATCATTCTCAGGAACTGACTCAAAAGTGTTAAGCAATATAACACGCATTCACTCTTTGTAGCTACTCACAACGTCAAAATATTTCGTTTTCTTGCTGTAAGGCGCAATTCAATTGTTACCAATTCCTCGTAGATCAGAGAATATCCTAAGGGAAGGACATATCCACACAAAAAATCTGCCTCTAATCGGATCCCAAGGGACCTGAACACTTCATATTCAGACGGGTTTCGATTCAAGTGAGACGTTCACTTCTGTACCAGACAAGCTTATACCTTCCGAAGTGTGACAAATTCAAGCTACATACATGTTGACTGAGTAGCACAAATTTGCAGTTCCCTTCCTCTCTCGGTAGAGTTTTGCAATATTCCGCGCAGATTCTGTAAATGGCCGGACTTCATTCTTTCTGTTTCGCAACACAAATCTTCCTTTTGAGATCAATTTCAGGAAACAGAGTAAGAAACAAAATCATGTGGACAGAAAACAACACGTACGTCATTCAACTAAACCATCTTTCGTCAACTTATTTTTCATTCTACCTGCGTTCGCCTCAGTTTTATTTTATTTGGAATATATTTATTTTTGTAAGAGCTGAGGTTTCCACGGCGGTGACTATGAAGAATGTCGTCCTGTAGGATGTGGCGCCGTGTAGATGTTGTGTGAAGCGACTGCGGTCTTCAGCCACCTGCTTACGCTGGTCCCTCGCTAGCGGATTTTTCCACACTGAATATGTAGGCGACACGTTCCTTCGAAACTTCAGTTCACACAAGATCTACACGGCGCCATATCCCAGAAGACAACATTCTTCATATTTATTTTTGTTTCCGCTTTATATGAAAGGGACCAATGTAATTGTTATTCGATGTTATTTTTGACAGATCTAAATGCATCAACTTTAGATATTATTACACAGAAATTTTTGTTTTCCGAGCTGCAGTCAAGTCACACTCACACGGCTATTCCACGTTGGGGCTAACTTTAGGCTGATCAGCTTTCCAGGTTTATATGGGCTATCATGTCCGAATGCACCCGAAAGCGGACATATTTGTGTAGACTGAAAATTTAGCCTAATATTAGTCTTTAACGAAGAGGTCAAATAACTCATAGGAAAAGTATAGCAATACCGAACACTCCAGTGGCTCTAACGTGATACATGAAGATACGTTTCATCTGCTTTCGGCGGGTTTCGCCTGCCAGCAGGAAGAATAAGTCAGGAATTCCTCGCACTGATGCAAAGAACACGGGCTGGCAGCCAAGTCGGACGGTACACTGCAGACAGCACCGTCTCCACGGTCGGGGCCAAAGCCTTCACAAACTGGGCCTGCAACTTGCGAGTCGTTCTATGACAGCAAACGAGGGGCCCAGAGTCACGGCAGATAACGAAATGCAAACGGGACTTCACGGAAGGGGCCGGAGAAATACTTGGTACGCATCCACTCTGAACAAATTAATACATTATTGCTAACCTAGATTAAATTTGGAATTACTGTACATATACCGTAAATAGAAGGATTATAGAATAATTAACCAATTGCTGCAAACATAGTTTTCAATCTGGTATTTGTATATTTCTTTTCTAATAAAAATTTCACATTAAATTAATACCCGATGTCCCATGGATTCAAATTCAGAATTTTGATATCTCCATTCTGGAAAGAAGCGCTGTAGGAAAAGTCAACAGTCGCCTGTGCCACAGCTCAAGCGGTTAGTCGCTGGCTTCCCGATCCCGGGTCTGGTCAAGTGGGATTTGTGGTGGATAAAGTGGCGCTGGGGCAGGTTTTCTCCGAGTACTTCGGTTTCCCCTGCCAGTCTTCATTCCACCAATTGCTCCACAATCACCCTCACCTATCATCTGGGGCTGATACAATAGGCCAGAAGTGGCCTCAGTACAAGGGACTCAGTCCCACTCCACTAGCAATAAAAAAAATATAAAAGTCAAGAGTCACTGTCCAAGTAGATTTTAATTTAAAACTTTTATATCTCCGTTTTGACGATGCTCTATAAATTAGGTTAATAACATGTTCTCCTTGTTTCCAATTAGAATTATCATAGCGATGTTTTAAGAAAAATAATTACATATGCCTAGCAGGTTAATAATAAGCCAATCCTCTATTTCCAAATTGAACTGTACGTGGAGCTATGCTGTTCCGAAAGAAGTGCTACAGAATTTCCATTATTAGCAGTGATAGCTGCATATCAGAATATGTCTCCTAACAGATATTCTATACCAAGCTGTAAATGATAAGTTACAATAGAAAGACAGTTATTGAACAAATATCTTTATTCTTTTTGTGTAAATTTGATAGTTTTCATTGTTAGTGGGGTGGGACTAAGTCCCTTGTACTGCGGCCACTTCTGGCCTATTGTACCAGCCCCAGATGATAGGTGAGTGTGATTGTGGAGCAATTGGTGGAATGAAGATTGGCAGGGTAAACCGAAGAACGCGGAGAAATACTTCCCCAGCGCCACTTTGTCCACCACAAATCCCACTTGACCAAACGCGGGATCGAACCCGGGCCGCCGCAGTGGGAAGCCAGTGATTAACCGCTTGAGCAATGGCGCGGCCAAATTTTATAGTTACTGTTAGGGAAAATTAAATATTTACAGATATTAACCCAGGAGCTTTAAATGCTTAATTTTCCACCCACAAAGACAGAGAGCTTCTTGAGATGAGCTTCTTCTGGTGCAACAAATGCCATAAAACATCCATTCGGTGCAAAAGAGACTGAATTTTCATTTTTGTTTCTGCATAAGATTAAAATGGAACTAGTGATGTGGAGGCTAAACAATAAGCTAACATGATACAACTGGTTAAGAAATAGCAAAATCGGCTGCTCAGAATTCCAAAAAAGCCGGGAAAGGCTTTCAAAATACGTAGCACTGCCTCGCTCTTTATTTTCAGAGCTCCTTTCAGGGAAGCATGGAAAGACTGTGAAATGATTGAGGTTTCACGTGGTATCAGGGATCGAACTGCGAACGTTTCAAGTGAAAACGACAACAAACTGTGGAGGTGGATAGTTAACAGACGCTATAAATTTTAATGTGGGGAGAAGAAATATAGACAAAATACTGGAAAGTAAGCAGTCACCTATGTTCACGGGGTCAATAAACGATAAACCTCATCTTCAACACAGGGAGTGTTTACACTTTGACATTCCAACCGAAGGCTGGAGGGAAGCAAATGGAAGGTCGTGATAAAACATAACAATTCCCAGATGCTACTGCTTCGGCAGCATGCGCACGAGCTGTGGGCTATTGTTTCATCAGTACAGCGATTATATTTGTTAAGAGCGTAAAAGATAACAAGAACAGAAAATCATGTCACTTGGTTAGTCCAAGAGGGTTAATGTATGGGAGGCTGGGTGGGCCCTAGAACCGGTCTGGACGCTGTGGAAGGGGGGGATTATTATGTGGAAATTTATTGCAGAAATAAATTCTATGGCTATGCAGCCCTTGCGGACCTTGGCCGCTTTTTCAGTTTCTTAATCCACACACAGTCCCTAGAAATTCTATTCTTCCGCTGGGCTATTCCTTCCCAAGGGGTAGAGAGGCTGGGAGCAGGAGTGGGGAGTAAAGCTGATGGTACATCTCCATTTAGTGTTGAAGTTAAGAACGCGGGGAGCTATACCTCCACCTCTCAATAAGTTTTCATGGCTTGGTCT